GGAACAACCTTACCACATTCTTTATAATTATTGAATAATGATTAGCCTTTATAAAATATATCAAAATTCGACATTAGATACATCTTCTTTTATAAGCTATACAATACTGAAATATCTGTTAAACGCTATTTATTAAAATGTTTTTCCAATTTATCAGTTTTAGAATCTATTAAAATTGAAGAAACATTTTTATTATGTAAATAACTCACCAGATAATGATGAGAAGAATCGTAATATTTCGCAAACGTGGACTTTTAAATAGATCCACCACAGAATAAGTCTTATCCGCTTCTTGCTCTTTGCATACCCTGGCACAGGTTTCCTGTTACATCAACAAACAGTCATTATAATTTAACGTAAATTTTTCTTGTGATTTTTATCGTGATACCATTTTTTTTTTCTTTAAAATACAAGAGAAAAATCAACGATCCTTACGCGGAACTGTTGATAGACGTTCTCGGGTACTTTCGTGCCGTTGATGCGTTCAAATTTACCCAGGATTCTAATGGCCTTCTCTACTTGGTTTTGACTGACAAGCCATCTCGCGCTCTCCGGTACCAACCAGGGTGCCGCTATTGCCAGAGCCAGAGGAACAGATATTGCGATGCAAGTCATCCTCCAATCGGCTAGGAAATATGCGATCCAAGGTAAGATACAGGCAGCGAACGTGAAAAAGAGAGCTATCGACATGTTCGCCACGAAAGTGCGCCATTTCGGTCCCACGTATTCCAATACTGAAAAAAAAAGATATTTAGAAGATAAATTAATAATATGGCTTACTTAGAAACCAGTTAAAAATAAATTAAGAACATTTAATATTCCAAAATAAATATAAAGAAATACAATAAAAACGTTCCAACGCCGATTGGGTAATTCTCAATATTAAGACGGATTTAAAAAATTATAATATTACATAAGTTATAATATTACATAAGTATAGGATTCTCAGATCAAAAATATACAATATTACATAAGTTATCTAGTAAAATTAAAAATGATACATATCCTGTGTTCCATTTTATTTTCAACAAAAAATATGTGTGCATTGGATTATGGAATATGGGTTCATTGAATTTGTAATGTAGAAATCACTCAATTTTTCCTCTTTGAAAAACTATTTTATTCACCAAGAGTTTTTCAAAGAAGAAAAATGAGATTACCATTAGTTTGTCAATCACATTGATTTCTACATTACAAATTTTAATGGACCACATATATTTTTTGAAAATAAGAATGGAACATAGAAACATCTGATATGTATTAACATTTTTAATGTTACTAGATAACTTATGTAATATTGTATTTTTGAATCCGATAACTTATGTAATAGAGTATTATAATTTTTTGAATGTGTCTTAACATTGAAAATGTTCCGATCAGCGTCGTTTATTATTGTATTTCGGAATATTAAATGTTCTTAATTTATTTTTAATTGGTTCGTAGCCCTTCTATTTATATATATTTAGAAAAATATTTAAAATGTCGTTCTAAATTCGTACAAAACTTATAACAATATTACACATTGCAGCAATGTTGCTGCAAGTTTTGTGCTGTTGACATACATTTCAATATTTGCAAAGTGTTGGTTTCGAAAATGACTACGTGATAAGGAAATTATAACAAAAGTATGATGTATGTTACATTAATACAATCTGCATTAAATCACTGTATATTAATGACGTTTGTATGTAAGAATTTATTTTCTAACAAAAGTTATCTTGAACGCTTTCTTGTAGACAGTCAGTTTAAAGTCTTGGAATAGATTTATGAGTCAATTATTACGTCATCACCAATGATATCCTTTGCCTTGACCTTGCGCAAACAATCTGGGATGAAAACCGAGGAATGCATCGAGAAACCTCTTTTCCTCTCTTGTAATTTAGATAATTCTTTGTTAGCGCAAGAAAGTCTAATATTTAAAGCAAACTCTTCAGTCAAATATGTCTCCATATCGTTATCGTAACAGCTCGAATTCTCAAATAAATTACAAAATGTTTCCTGTTTGTTAGGAGGGTAATTCATTACTGCCGACTTACACGTACATTAATTAGATCGACAAGTAGTCATTTTTTTAATGTACTACCTTCATGCTACCATCCATCTGTGAAGCGTAAAATTATCAGTGAACCGTCCTATGTGTACTCAACGACGTTGCAAGGTTATGAGAATCAGTATAAATTGATTTCAAAATGTGTCAATTGCACGTTCCATGAATAATTTTCACATATCAGCATTTGAGTAGCTCTTTTATTACGAACAAAGCTCATTATGAACAAAACAAACCCAGCTCAAGAAACATCAAGTCAAGAGAAAATCAAAATGATTTTATCTTGACTTGGTGTTTCTTATTCTATTTTGACGCCGTGAAAATCAAAATAATGATTTTTTTGTTACAAAAAATTTAATTGTTTATGATGTTAAAAATAAAAATTATATAAAAATTATATTCCTTGAAAGATAGAACACGAAATTAACATAATTAAGTAATTAACATAATTAAGTGATATCATAAGACGTCATCATTTGCTTATGGACTTTCTATTCTAATTTATTACCTCAGCTTTAAGCCGTAAGAAATTGACCAATCACAGTCGAATGAGAGAAGAATAATCGACTATGATTGATCAGTTTTTTACGCCTTAAGATTTAAAGCTGAGGTAATGACGTGTAGAAAGCCAATTAAAAATAAATTTATAATTGATAAATAAAATAATAACAATGTCCTTATGATATTGTTATAATTTCTGTGTTCCACTTAAAAATGTTATTAAATTAGTTAACAGGTTTGTTTGCATTGCTTGCACGTTTTGTATTCAGAATCTTCGCTTTCTCTCTCTCTCTCTCTCTCTCTCTCTCTCTCTCTCTCTCTCTCTCTCTCTCTCTC